TGTCAAGATGGCAAAAATTAACTAAAATGATACAGATTATATGGAAACGATGGATAACTGACTATCTTAATCACTTGCAACAACGAAAGAAATGGTATTTTTCAAAGGACAATATAAAGAAAAATACAATGTTTTTTATTAAAGATGATCAGTTACCTCCATTTAAATGGTTACTGGGAAGAATTGATCAGACAATTCCTGGTAAAGATGGTAAGATACAAGTAGCAGTCATTAACACAAAGTTTGGTCCAATTAAAAGGCCAATATCAAAAATTGCTTTATTGCCTATTGAGGATAACTTCAAGGATTAATTTCTATTGTTAATAAAATATACATTGTTCTTTATTATACTTACATTTTGGTAATTTTGATAAAAATGGTCAGTATTTTTTACTGTTTGAAATGTTGATATACTTACCATAATTATTGAAAAAATTTGCAAATGTTCAAACTTTATGGAATTTTCTGAATTGTTTATTTCATTCTGTAAATGATTTATTAACTTCAAGTCTTTTGTTAATGCTTAAAAAAGTGAATAGCTGGATTGTTAGCATTTGATATTGAATTGCATGCTTAGATTTAGTTTGCATATCATAGATATTGCAACGTGGGGCGGTATGTTGCTTCCTACGCGGCACTGCGCAATTTTAGTTAGTTAAGATTCGAACTCCTAGCGTAGCATACATGTTTTTGATCCCGTATGGTCGGGAATTTATCATTTTCGATTTAGATTTTTAGTTATGATACAGTCCACGAAATAAAGTTGTTGTTGTTGTTGTAAAGTTGTCTTTAGTATAGAGTCTAACCAGCGACCTCAAAACATCCAGTTTTTTAATATTAGTGTACGATGAAAAAAACTAATATTAAAAAACTGGACGAAGGATCTCTTGCAGTGTTATGTTAATTTGTAAAAGACAAAATTTAACGATGCCCCAAAAACCCCAAAAATTGTATCCACATTTCCAAATATAGAAATTTTACTGCGCATATATTTAACTTTGCCTGTAAGAAATGAATCTGATGAAAGTTAATTTTCATTACTAAAAACGTCTAAAATTTTTTTACGAAACTCATTAAGCAAGTCAAAATTAATATCTTTAGTTATATTGTACATCGAACAAAATGCTCTGAAAAATATCTATTATGAAAAAAACAACTCAAAGTTTTGCAAAACTCAAAACGAAAGAAAAAAAAAGGATTTTTTAAATTAATTTCCACCTTTTGGACACCAGTTTTGACATTGAACAGAATTAATTTTGTGTCTTAATTTATGAGATGCGTTTAAACATTCAAAATTTTAATTTTCGTGGAAGTATTTTTTGTCCGGTCTTTTTCTTGTAAGGGACCTGGCGAAATATATCTTAAGTACCAGACAGATTAAATTCGTCTTTGCTGCTATTTTTGCATTTTTCTGCTTGAAATTCCTCAGGTTAAGTTTATTTAACAATTCCCATGGCTAGTTTATTAGCCCATAGAATACGTACATTCAGCTAGGAGTTAACTGCTGATTAGAGGGACTTGCATGCTTTCTCCTTCTTTACTGTAATACTGTTTCGTAACCTTTAGCGCTCTCACGAAGCAATTACCGAGCACTTCTGAATATGGCAAATAACAGTTCTGTAGCGTCTTCATACGGTTCGCATGCTAGAAGCACGCGAACCAGATTATCAACTGTGACGAACCACTGGATGCTGAAATATAGAATTTCTGTACCTCAAAATAAAATTTCAAAGTTAATAAGAGCTTTGGAGCGATTTACAAGAGCTTTGTATTTAATTATAGTCTGTTGTAAGCAAAGTTCGCCTTCAGCAAATTATTGAATAGGTTAGCATTAGTATGCAGATGGGAATGTTTACAAAAAGAAAAAAGCCCAACTCTCTCTAAATCACGGAATTTACCCTGCGTCTTAACTTCCTTAAATTCAAGGTCTAACGATAAACAACAATTCAAGATCACGCGATAGTTTTAAGCGTGATAACCTGTTGCAAAATATTTCCTCTGGGAATTCCACGGAGGTAAATTTAGAAAAAACAAGATACATATAAAAATTCGGATCTGAACCGTTTAAGCGTAAACAGTGTAAATATAAAAATATTTTCACAGGTATTTCTCTCTCTTCAAAAATATTCAAAAGTAAAAAATTATTAGGATGGGAAAATGTAAAAAACATAATACTGTTAGCCGCTCCTCAGACTTTATAAATTCTTTATAAAAATTCAGATTTCTCTGTGTTTTTATAGCTCATTAATTAATCTTTTTTTTTTTTTTTTCAAGTTAGCGAGCAATATCTGTAGCAATTATTATTGAATATTTCATTGGGAATATTCTAGATTAACTCATACGCTGGAAATCTATCTCATTAATGTCAATAAACTTATCACAGATTGACAGCTATTGCTTTTAATAATAGTGCGAAACGATAGTGAAATAGCAAACCCTTGATATAAGCCTCATTATAAACATGCCGTTCTTTTATGTACTTAGGTCACTGTTCCAGAAAAACTCATAAAAATGCTGTCACCTTTGTACCGAGATACTATTGTGTAAGTTAGTTTAGGCATAAAGGTTGTAATAAGTTTGCCTCGGCATAAAGGTGTTCGCCTTTTCATGGAAATTGCTTTTTAAAAATTTGAAACTTATAAAGATGTGAGCACTATTACCGAGACACTTTCAGAAAGGTTTCCCTCTTTTCGAGCATATTATTTATTCATTAAAGCACCATTTGGTACTACTCGCAAAGGGAAAAATAAGTATCATCGAGAAGGGAAACTGCTTGTATCCACTTTACAAACGGGAAAATCTACGAAAAGGCCATGAAGCCAGCCCGTTCGCCGGGACTTCGCTGAAACGAACTACCAGTGTTCAGTGTCTTTTACCATTCGGCCGCTGGTAGGCCCTTTTCGAATATCAAAGTGTGTTTTCCAACGTAAACATTTTGCGATTGTAATAAAGGGGGTGGCATCTTTATGACGAGGCATCGTAATGAAGCTCTCTTCTGAAATTGCTTTAAAGCGGGGGGTTTATGCTTTACATAAAATGGTTTTATGCACGAAGTCCAACTGCTTTTGGATTCTTCTTTTACATAGATCGCAGCTTACTATCAGTGTAGATTGTAATGGATGCAACATTTCGTTAAAGAAAGCAATTACCTGCTCATAAATAAACCTAAGTTCGCTAGTTGTTAGATACAACTAGAAAGTTTCCTTAAAACAACGACAACAGCAGATGATGCAGTGTCGTGCTTGAGACAGGAATCGAATGTTCGGTAATGTCCTGCCTAGTTGAACCTCCCGCTTGCAAGACATCGAGAAAATGAAAAGTATTATAGGCTGTATAAATCTTTAGATACCAGCTCTAATGAACATCTAGAAAAAGTGTTCCACCTCCTCTGCTTTCTTTGAAACCTTCAATTGAAACTAAAAATGCTGAGAAGCATGATTTTTATTTTCAGCTGAGCTGAGATGACTTTAATACAGTGATTACCTGCTCATATATGAATGTTCAGTAGTGACTGCATATAAAATACTTCTGTGTTAATTATTCATGTAAAGTAAATCTTATTAATGCTTTCTAAAACATTTCTCTATAATAAAATATCTCTTCACCGTTTTGCCAGAAATATATCACGTAAAAGCAATACGAAATGTATGAAATCATTTTATCGCTTTCGTCAGTGCCAAAATAAACGCGTTTACTTTCATTTTTCAGACTTTGTAAGTTACATGTTTTTGTTTAACTTTTGTAGGACTAATAATTAGTTTAATATAAAATGACTGGTTTGAATATAAATGGAATCCTGGTTCAATATAAATGATCAGTTATATAGAATATATATGGAACTGATTATAAATCCAGAGATTTATCAAAGCTTTGAAGTTGTGTTATTTCTGCTGAAAGCACTCCTAGTAGCTACAGCTGAATTATTTATAATTTGAAAGTCAATTGTGAGCTAACTCCTTGAGTTACAAAAACCTTGCAAGTATAGGTGGTTAATATTTGTTCATTTTCAGTTGTACCTAAAGAAATAGTTTTAAATTTAAAAAAAATTAGATTTATATTTTTCTGTGGTACTACAGTTTAATTCAATTTTTTTTAGCTTGATAAGACGCTAATTCAAGATGTTGTCGGAACAAGATGAGTTAACCAAGTACGAATCAAATATCTAATTATGCTTATCCTAACATTAGTCACCAACGTTTTCAGATTAGTATTTTAGCAATAGCTGGCTCCAACGTGATTTCGGTCAAAAGCTATTCCTGCAAATCCGATGATTGAATCTGGTATGCTACTAAGTTACATGGGACTGACTAATAAACTCGTGGTTATTTCTGATTTAATGTTCGGGGTTACGTTCAGGCTCTCGAAAGTCATTTCTTACCACACCCAGTATCCAACTAGCGCACACGTTGAAATGGCACAAATGTATTGGTGAGAGATGGACGTAATTTGTCGGAAACACATAATTTTGATATTTAAGACATAGTTAGTTAGGATATTTACGCCACTTACAGATAGGGATTATCGGTAATTTGAATCCCGGTAAGAGAAAGTTAATTTTTCATCTTTACTATTTTGAAAATACTAATAATTTGTAAAATGAAATATTTGGCGAGACTTATATTTTACTGAAGCGAGAAAGTATAAATATTGCTTTGATGGAAATGGATATGTCTGTTTCAAAAAATATACATGTAATAATTTACTTTAAGAATTTGATTCTATAAGGACTTAACATAACATCTTGATGCTGACACTGCAATAATGCTATACTACATGTATATTTCATGAGAGGAAAAAGGTTAATCTTGTATACCAGACAAAATGTACAATACCTTCGGAAATTTACCAATGAAATGTGAAAATTTTAAATATACAGAAAATATATCAATACTCTCGTTTTCCTTCTAAAATAAATTTAATATGTCGCTGAAATGAATAATTTTGATACAGGATCTCATCATCTGATTCTGACTTTTTATATCTACTAAAGTATATCTTACTTTTCGACGCAGTGTGCAGCAGTTATTGCCCAGAATTCATTCAACAATGCAGCCCCACATTTATGAAGGAAAGTATTTTTCTTCCACTGCCTTAAAGAAACCTGAAATTTAAACAAGTATTTGTGATATTTGCAAATAGTATTGGAGTTTATGGAATGAAATTATAATAGAAGGAAAACATAAGCATAAAAACAAAAAAGGAATTCAAAATAATCATAAAATTTGAGCAGAAAATACAAATACAAAATTTAAATATTTCGTGTACAAATGTAACTCAACGTGTAATCACACAAATGTACGTCTAAAAAAATATTTCGCTTCCTGTTTAATGTTTATAAACTACATGCAAAAAACTCATATTTCAATAAAAATGAAACTAAATTATGCATATAAAAATATAACAAATCATAAATCTAATAAACGAGTGCAAGAAGTTTCTGGTGCAAATTTTAATGCTTACTAGTTTAATGATGTCATAATCCTTGTGCGGTAGATATATGGATATTCAAAAACAGTTACTGTTTCTAATAAATACTTAATGAATATCGAAAGCTATGGCTATCAATCTTTACATCTATACTTGTGTGAAAATGTTTTTGCTTTGATATTTATCTAAACGAGAACTTTTTTAAAAAAGGCATCGAACGACAGTATGTAAAAAACGTTCTGAAAGCTTTCAGATTTTATATTAGGCCCAAAAAGGCGTTTTTTAACGTTTTTGTGTTACCACTATTTATTAAATATCAAATTCTTCGCACTTAAATCGCATAAAATTCAATTCAACAGCATTATCACAAAATATTTAAAAACAGCATATCTTTAGAGTTTCTGATAGACAGCCTCGCTCGCTGGAGATAAAAATGTGTGTATTTTGTACAGTGTTGTCATTGCACGCGTTGAAATCATTGAGTTTGTTAATCAAACATTCGCTAACGTTTTATAAAATATGAAATAGGTAATAAAAAAAATTCAAAATTCGTGCTTAGAGGTGCCTATGTTCGGATGGAAGATTACTTAATTCAAAATTTGATGGCTCTAGGTACCGTCGTTTTTTCACAGTGCGAGAAACATACATACATTCATGCAGATTCTTCATTATTTAATTTCTTTAAACATAATACAGGGCGATAAAATTTGGTAGCAATAATTCAAAAAACTGATACGCCGTTTATAGAGAACCGACGCAAAATGCTGTTTCAAGACAATAGCCCTTCTGGGCTAAACCTCCTTTGGGATAATTATAATTATTTTACAATTTTTTATGCGTTAGTAAATCAAAAAAAAATTAAGTTAAGCAGATGCATGATTAACATTTCTGTTTCAGCAAGAAAATAAAAAAGCAATTTTGTTTTTACAGTTATAAACTGAGGAACACGAAGTTATTCTACTTTCATTAATCTATTTCAAAAATTACCTTTTTTGTGCTATTTATTCTTATCTAGGAATTGTCAGCTTATGTCAGTACGTCAAATGATGTCACTCATAAGAGTCAAAATTCTCAGTTTCAATTTCAAAGGCTCCAACAGTCTATGAATATTATATTTTTTTAACTACAATTGAAAAAAAAGTCTGAAATTGTTAAAATCACAGTTTAAATAATTCAACAAATAACAGATTCGATGGCATCAGAAGTAAAAAATTTCTTTTTTTTACTTCTACTGGAAACAATACTGTGCTTAACTAAGCTATTTCATACAATAATACTCAGTTTTGAATTAAGTGCTAATGTTTCTATCTATGTCTACGCAATTTATCAAAAGTAAGATTTAATATGTTGTAGAACCTTCGATTCTACCAATAAACACAAAGCACTTAAAAGGCGTCTAAGTATTTTAACTGAGATAAAAGCAACTAAAAACTTGCAATGAATGAATAGAATATGGTTGTAATAAGCTTCATATAAAATCGAAAATGTTTTCTAAAAGCTTCATAGAAAAATCAAAACTGTTTGTAAAAAGCATCTGAAGTTTATAGCTGTATGCTTCATTTGCCTTAAAAATTACAAAATGTCTTTTCAAAACTCAGCTTTATAAAATTAAAAGTTCGAAACTTTTATATTTTGTACATACAAAATTCTATAACTTTTCATGTTGCCTACATTCAGCTTCCGTTCAGTAAATACGTTGTTGCTTCAGAAAAACTGGAATACTTACCACCCACGGCCACTCTCCAAAATAAGAATTTCCACCTCCCACAATTCGGCCCACGGGTCCAGGCATAGGTCGTCCACATACTATGTGATAAAAAAGAAATTAACTATGAATAAAAATAAATATACAACTTGCCACAACCAGGTCAGTAAAATACTGTTGAAAAGATTTGGCTGGGAAAACAATTTTGTTGAACAATTGTAAATCTAAATATAAAGATATAAAAAAGTAAGAGTTAGTAAACTAATTTTTACTCTCTATATTTGAATGACATTTTAAAAATTACACATAACATTCCCCAAGAAAACAAAAATAAGAATTGTTTTTAAATTCTTTTTAAATGTCTCTGCTAAAAATTAATTTCTTGAAAGCATAAAAATTACACCAGCTGTGCTAACAGATAATAAGACGTCATAAATATAAGATGCTTAGGGGAATATACTTAGCAGTTAAGAAACCAATAATAAGTATTAAATTTATGTGTATGGGTATTTAATGTAGAAGACAATAAACATGTTTAAACTCGAATTTAAGATTACTGTTTTTCCCTTTACTAAAAATTTTTAAACATAAGAATATATTTTTAATTTTATATACGTAAATTATCTTAAGTAATCCTTATCTTGGTAACAAGATAGTTGGTTTGTCCCATCTAAAACGTGTATTCTTGCTAGTTTTAATTAGAAACCCCCTTTCCTCCAGAAAGGCATTTATTTCCTCAAGTATTGTGCTTTGCCATATATAACATAATAAATCTAAATCGAAGTTAATGCTGAAGTCTGCAGAGTTTCCATCTTCTTTCGTAAAACTCTCCATTTACAACCCACTTTAATTTTTTTATTTTTCCTAGCGTTTTAGCCATCTTCTGTATTGTATATAAAAGGGCTATGTAAAATGAAACGATACTTTCGTATTGCCGTCGAACGTGAAAGCTGGTTACCATCGAACTATGAAAGGTGACGGAAATTCCGCCAAACATTCACGCCGAATTCTGAACCGCACTTCTACGTGCAACTCTTAAAATAAAACACTGCCAATCTCCTCAAAATCCACCAAATAGCACTGATGTTGAAGCATTCCACCCCCTTCGTTTTTGCTTTTTGTAAGTAGGCTTTCGCTGACTACTATTATTTAGTTCGTTACACCGATTATACCGAAAGCTATGTTTAAAATACTATAAGTACAAACATCCCGTAGGTGATTGATCCAATATATTATAGTTTCGCCATTCATAACGGGTTCTTTTCACCCCCCTTTCAACAAATGTTAGCTATTTCAACCAGCTGTAAACAAACCGGAGTACGGTCAGAGATATGATCCTACAGCCCTCGAACTCATTATTTTAAATGCAAGGGAAAATGCTGGAACAAAAGTTAAATTATAATCTTGTTCATGAAAACGAGAGCTGGCCTATTGAGAATAAATCGGGGTTACATCAAACGAAAACACAGATGGTATAAGGATGTTGTTACGTTACACTTATCCATAATTGGCAGTAAATTGCTCTGCATGACGACATTTTCACAGTTGACGAGATAATACATAAGTACCAAGAAGAACATAAATGATTCATGCAACCTAAAATTGCATAAACAATGTACGTGTTTATGACTATAAGCAATATAACTTTACCATAAATATAAGATTAATTCTGCTTTTGAACCTATTTACATGGAAACGCAGATATTCAAATTTCCATTTTTCTTTGACATGGATATCATATTTGTTCTTTCTTCATTTGGTAAAAGATGAAACCTGCTTATAAATGCAATTAGAATATAAATAAGCGTCTTCTCTCCTTCCCTTATAAAGGTGAAACACTTTGCGCTACTTTTCACTTTATAAGCAAAATAAAACACGCCGCTTTAAAAATAGTTCAAAGGTATATTTTATTTTATGTTTTAATTTTTTTAAATTAAAACAGGTAATGAAGATGGATTATACATAAAAAAGAGTGATGCCTCATTAGAAACAGTATTTTGTATTGTGTAATAATATATATAGGAAAAATATTACGGAATGGCAAATTTAACGCACATGCATGTTGAGTTACTAAACCGTAATTTTAACTAACATCATGCAGATAATTCTGTGTAAAATGATTTTTATGTGCTTACTCTTGACAATTCTAAATTGTTTATTCAGAAAAATCAAACTGTTGAAAACACGTCATATTTCTTCTTAGTATTACAGAGAATCTCTTACCTTCTCTAAAATCAGCAGAAGAAAGATCTATTTCTGTTGTAGTTGGTACTGCAGTAGTAGGTAACCCTGATGTAGTCGACTCGGGCGTTGTTTCTTCTTGTGTAAATGTATCTGCATTTGTACTTGTGACTACTGTCGTAGTAACAGGCTGCGTAAACGTTTTTGTTACTGTTGTGTCTTTGAAAACTTCTGCTGCATCATTTTTTGTTGAAATTTCTGATGGCGCAGTGGTTTCAAAGTGTTCATCAGAGGATAATGTTGTTTCCGCATTTACCGTATTATAATTTGTTACGACTGGTAAGTTAGTGCTCCAGCTATCAGCAGTGGGTGTATCACTGAATTTTTGAGTTTCGCCTTCAGTGCTTTTCGTGTAATCAATTTCGTTTTCCGAAGCTTCAGTTTCTAATGCATCGAAAGCAGTAGGTGTAATATCATCCATGGTAAAATTCTGGTGTACGTCCACTTTTGTAATATCACTTATTTGTTCGAAACCTACCTTGTTATCAGTCTCAGTAGGAATGGAATACGTTTGTGATGCATGTTGCATTGTTACAGCTTTGTCTGGGAAAGTTGAAGAATAATCTTCCTTTGTAACTGATGAATACAGCTCATTGTCATCAAGTGTAGATTCGAAATCTTTTTCTGGTTCAGTGGTCATGGGCCTTCTAGTCGTGTGTGCCATATGTATTGTTGGAAATGGATATATTATAGTTTGACGCTTAGTGAAAGTTGACAGTCTAGAAGTATCCTCAGTAGTTGCTTCAGTTTGCTCTGGTTCTTTGTAAATTTCCTCAGTCTCATCTGGCAATGTTTGAAATTTGTTCAAGAACGTTGTAAGTAAATTTATTGTTGAAAATGACTGTGGGCTTGTTCTTGTCTCTGCATATTCTTCGAAGTCATTAACTGTACTTTTTCCTTCAGCATTAGTTTGAAATAAAGGCATATCAGGTTTAAAAAATTCGTTTTGAATAGTTGAAATTGGTGGCCTGTGATTATCAATTGTTACTACTGTGGTTTTTGTTTCTGTACCCAACTTGTTAAGATCTAAAATATGTGCATCATCATCTAGTTCATCATCTAGAGTGATAGTAGTAGTTTTAAGGTGAACGTTACTTTCATTTGCTACAGTAGAAAAATAGGATTCATTAATTTCATCATCTATGGAATTATTTTTATTTTCGAAGTTCCATTCATATGGAATTGTTGGAAAATACGGTTTATGAGAATATTTTGTTGTGGGTTTTGAGGTTGTAGTATTGTAAATTAATTTCCCTTCATTAGGAACGGTTGGAAAAATTGTTTTTAGATTATTACTGTCCACGTTCTCTGTGGTTTCAAAACTAGAATCATGCATAACTGTATATTTGTCTTGCACATCTTTTTGATCAAATATATCAGAATGCTGTTGAACCAATGCATCAAATGTACCTAGTGGCGGTATCGTAGTATGGTGTTCATTCGTTGTCATTTGATGATAGAGTTCTGAATCGTTTTTAGTGGTCACCTTTTCTTCTGGTTTAAATTCGTTTTCATCAAATATGTCTTCGTAATAATCATAGATGTCATATATGTCATCATCAGAGAAAATTTCTGGAAGTTGAGGAGATTTTGATGATACTTTCTGGCTTGCAGTTATTGCACCCTGTGAAACATTTGATTCTGTATTAAAATTTGATAAATAAGTATTAGAGTCTGAAGATGGTGCAGCCGGTTTGTGATTGTCTATGAAGCCTAATTCGTAACTTTCTGCCGTGGTTACAGCATGAACTTGTTCATCATTTTGTGCCTCATTTTGTGCTGAATTTGTGAGCTTCATCGTAACTGCATTATCTTCTAATGTGTATCCGTCTTTAACTGTGAATACTGCGTTAGAAAAAGGATCTGTATTTGTGGTAAATTTCAACACCCAGTCCAGTTTACTTGCATCTTCATCACTGGTAAATGCAGTCTCACTTTGATTATTTCTTACGGTCTGGTTGTTCATAATCGTTCCCAAATCTTCACTGTAAGTTGTACTAAATGTTTGCTTTTCAGTACTTGTTAAAGTTACAAGATGTCCACTTTCTGGTAATTCTGGCGTAGTTATGTCAGCTGATGCTATCACTTTATTTGATTGTGTTGTTTCCATCGTACTATCTTCTTGAACATTCTCCGTTGTTTTCATTGATTCCCATTGCTCAACAGTCATGGGCTGAGTAGTGTCTTCTAAATGATCACCTTCAGTTATTGTTGCCTCATCCGTTTGCACACTTGGGATAATTTCATTCCCATATGCATCGTATAATATTTGGACTGGTCGGTATACTACGGAGGTTTTGTCGAATAAGTCAGTTTTAGTGTTAGTCATAGTAAACCTTTGTTCAGTCGTGTCTTCTCCCAGTGTTGTTATAGCAATATTGGGATTAAGGGTCGTAGAGTTTAACTCGTCACTTGAGTCACTGGCCGATAAAATATCCTCCGTAGTTGGGTTTTGAGCAGCAGCAGTTTCTGTTAATGCAGGGAAAGAAATAAAAATGGTAGAATTAGTGCATAGGTTTTTATCCGGTTTGCCATTCGAGCCCTCATGGAGTAGACACTGTATAAACGCGTATCTCAACATTGACGCTAATGGTTACTAGAATAAATCAGGAAGCTATTCTTCCATGCAAACAAAACTTACTTAGGGAAAAATAGCAATATGAGATGCTATTAGCAGGAAATGTGTTTTGGTGTAATGAGAAATTTCTTTTAAATAACGTATTTATTAGGCAAAAAGGGAAATAGTTACGGTGTAAATATTATCGATTATTTATATCAAAATGTTTTAACAACATTTTATTTATACCATATTATTTATACCCTTCTGTACACATAATGTTTATTTATACCAAATCGATTATTTATTCCAAAATAATAATCATTTACTTAAAATCATAATTATTTAAATTTTACCTTAAAGGTTAAATTTATGAGAGATTCTAGAAAATTCTAGTAAAGTTTTACGAATAAAGAGCTGTACTAAAATTATAAATTTTAATGAGAAAAACAAATTTGTGGAGAATAAGCTTGTAATGAATACAGCTTAAATCCAAGGATATGATTTACTTTTTATACTAAAATTAATTTTAAATGGGATTACCTTCAAAAAGAAATTAGTATCGAACATAATGCGAAATTACTGCAACATTACTGTATTACTGTATATAGATTAAATTATAGACAAAAATTTGAGTTTCATCTTAAATATTTAAGCCATATCATATATTATTGAAAACTTATAACAATTTACGTAACGCGAGAAATGCTAAAAATACCTATGCAACCAATATATTAAAGCAGAAAAATTAAAGTTTCTTTCATAAATGTTATTACATTGTTACTCAGTTTTTTTTTAAATTGTATAAATTGGTTAGTGAGCTGCAAAGCTGCGATCATATCATTCTTTTCAAAATGACAGTTTCATACTTCATCTAGGGCTCGAATGCAAGCATTAATGCAATAATTTAGAAAGCAATAAGCAAAAGCAAGCACATAAAAGCAAATGTGGTTAAGAATTTTGCTACAGCACACATTAAAATTCACTTATTAAATGAAAGGCTGAGAAAAACATGACTGAATCTCAGAGGTTTACTATAACTTCAAATAATTTAACAGATGCAAAATATGTAAACGTAATTGGAAAATGTAGCATTTATTTGGTGATAATTTAAAAAATTTCACCTATTTCGTCATACAGTGCCAAACAAAAGTTTGATTTTACTACCAATTAGTGGAACTTCCGTACTTTGATACTTGAATTTACCCCCCTCTTGAAATACTTTAAATGATGTTTTCTAACACACCTAATTTTTAAACTGAGAAGTGCAAAATAACAATTATAATATTAAAAAAATCTGAAAATAAATGACAAAAGTATTTTAAAACTGACTATACAGTAGCCTTCAGAAATAATTATCGTCACACCATTTAAAATATTGACTGCCTAATACAAACATATCTACTCTGCAAGTTTCTTTTAACGACTTACTTTCGAACAATTTTTCCTTTTAGTTAACTTGAAGGAAATTAATATTCCACAAATAAACTGTATTCTTTATTCACATTGAAAGCAATATATTAATAATTAATTCCAATCTGAAAATTTGGAATTACATTCATGTCCCTTTGTTTAAAGTTTCACAAACAATTGTTAAAAAAATAAAGTGCTAGATTTAAAAGAAATTGAAATCTGATCTTTGTGTGAAGATTTCAGTTTAACACTTGAAACAATTATAAGTGAAGCAGATACAATACGCCTACTAATTTAAGAATTACTCCACAAGAAGTAAAAATGTACAGAATATAAACGTTACACTTCAAATGAGCTGTTCAATCTCGCAAAGCCGAATGGTAGAAAACACTTGCTGGAGTAATATTTCACGAGAAAATATTCCGCGTATAGACTTGTGCAGTTATTTAATAAAGAAAGTATTCAATTGTCAAACATGTCTTGTAGCATTTATTTTACTGTATTGCATGGACATGAATACAGTAAAATAAATGCTACAAGACATGTTTTCAGAAAGTACTTTTCTCAAGCGCCAATATTTTTTATTTTATCAGCCTAACGAATCCTCTAACATAAACAATACGTACACTGCGTAATCAAGAGCAATATCGCAAAATAATTTTAAAATGAGCATATCTTAGAATTCCGACACCAGTCTCACGAATGGAAAAAATGTTTTTTTTCTGTGCATTGCCGCTTGAAATCCTTGAGTTTGTTAATAAAAAATTCGTTAAAGTTTTACAAAGTATGAAATCGATGATAAAACAAATTCCACATTTCAAATTTGGGCTTCCAGATGCCCATATTCGCAGGAGAATTACGTTATTCCAAATTTGATGGCTCTAGGTACCGTTATTTTATCACAATGCGAGAAACATACTATTACATTTTATGGCAACCCTAAAATTCTTTGTGGGTAAGCCATCTTACCACGCCTGTATATTTCGTAACAATACATTTATGCAGATTCTTCATTATTTAATTTCTTAAATACATGACTACCAAAAGTATTTGGACACCAGTGATAGAAAGAAAAACAACTACAGTAAGACCCCCGCTACGCTGTTTCGTTTAGCGCTGTTTCAGTTTAGCGCTCTTTATTCAACCCGGGGATTCCATGAAATCGCTCGAGCATACGGGAATTCCCGAAATATTATGCAGCGATGGTTTCAAATACATATCCGAAGAGTGTACTTGTATTTCTTTGTTTGGTGCGGATTGTACAGACCTTTTGAAGGGTAAATGTGGCGATGTCGAAAAAAGAATTCAAGAAGCGCGGCTAGTCTTCTAATGATGAGCCAAGGAATTAACTGAACAAGAGAAAGAAATGTGACAGAGTGATCAGAAAAGAGCAAAAAGAACTTTCGATGGCGTTTGTAAAAAGAGTTTGTCCCCCATAACTGAAATAATGGATCAATTCATTGAAAATGATCCGAATTTGACAGGAGCTCAAAGTAAGGCGTGGTGTTAGAGATGCTCTACCTTTATGAAGAACTTAAGAGAACAAAGCAAAGAAGAAGGCAAACAACATTAATGCTTTTGTCACAAAAAGCAGAAACATGAAAACGCGAAGGCTAACTAAATATGACTGACTGAGAATTTTATTTGTTTTTTTTTTAAGAATATTCGTTTTGTTATTTATACTTTGTTTTTTTTTGCAAGAAATAATAATGTGGTATTAATTTGGGCTTTAAGAAATAAATGTTGGTTTATTTTATTAAAAAAAACATACTTTTTAAATTCAATACCTAACCAATTTCCTAGCCATCTTCCCCTAACCCCAATATTTACATGTAAAGATAGCCTCGTTTAGCGCTGTTTCGCATTACGCTCTACTTTGATGGAACGTATCCCCCGCGTTAAGCGGGGTCTTACTGTATATTCAAAATCAATAGTTGGTAGAGCCTCCAAGAGAGGTAATTACAGCGTGGACCCTCCGGGGCATACTTCCCACAAGTCTTTGTATGACAGCTAGTGGTATTTTCTTCCACTCGGCTTGGAGAAGACATAGAAGTTCTTTCACCGATTTTGCACGGGTAGTGCACCCCTGAATTCGGCGATGCAACTCGTCCCAGAGGTTCTCGATAGGGTTCCAGTCCATTCAATGAACTCCATTGGCACAATACCGAGCGTTGGTTAACGTCCAAACATGACAATTGGCATTGTCGTCCTGAAAGTAACATGGGTCCAACCCGTAAAACTGCCACAACGTAGGAAGCATATTGCCATCTAAACTAGTGCAGTAGGCATCGGAGTTGAGCTCACCATGAATGGGACCAAGGGTCCCAGCCCATACCAGAGAAACACCCCCAGACCATAATTCCACCTCCACCGAACTGGACTGTTGGCACAATACTTTCTGGTAGGAGAAGTTCTCCAGATAGACGCCAGACCCTGCCATCCGAACGGTAAAGGGTGAACCTTGATTCGTCACTCCAAAGAACCCGTTTCCACTGATCTACGGTAAAATTTCGCTTTGCACCACATTAACCGAGCAGCGCGGTTGGACTTTGTGATCAAAGGCTTATGGGCAGCAGCACGACCACGAAAACCAAGCAGATGTGCTTCCTTACGAATGGTATTCATTGAAACAATACTCCCGGATGCCTGTTGAAACTCCTCGCGGATGAGGGCCATCGGTTGGGTGCGGTTCTTCCGAATTTCTCTGGACAGCACTCGTCGGTCTCTATCTCTCAGTTTCGTTTGTCTGCCGACTCGAGGCACATTCCGACAATCACCGCTCACCTTCCACTTCTTAATCACATAGGCCACTGTCGATTTTGGGTACTTCAGATCGCTAGATATGTTCCTTAAGGATCGGCCACATTTGTGATACCCGATAATTATACCTTTCTCGAAATCAGAGAGCTCCGAACTGCGAGGCATCTTGCATGCGACTAAAGCCTATGCTGTTTCCTACACGATATATAACGGCGGAGTCCGTTACGCACTTTAGGACCGCAGATATCGTCATTTGCATAGGTGTCCAAATACTTATTGGTAGTCAGTGTATAATACCCGGCGATAATATTTGGTGTCAACATTTTGAAAAGTGAAACAATGCTTGTAGTGTAATCGACGCGAAATTGCAAAACGAAATTAATAGTCCTTCTGGGCAAATTGCCCCTTTGGACTACAAAAATGGATAGTTATTTTGGACTATATCTGCCTCTCTACTGGGCCGATTGACGAAATTCAAATTGCGTTTTCCATGTCTCGAAAGCAAGGCTTAGGATATATATTAGATTCATATATCGCATTGTTCTAATATAGGTATTTTGACACAAAATCTGACCTTTCCTGAAATCACATACTAATTTTTTTCCATATTTCGATTCAACGAGTCAAATTATATCAAAGTGCCGAGTTTTGTAAAAGTCGCAAGAGTAGTTTTTAAAAAAATTAGCTCTCAAAACTTTAGCTCCTTCCATGTTTAATTAGAATTTCGTATTATATTTAT